TTAACTTAAAACTTGAATGTAACCAAGATATCCTTCAGTAGATGAACAGATAAACAAACTGTGGTCACCCAATGGGACATTACTCAGTGTTAAAAACATATGAGTTATCAAGTCATGAATAGACATGGATATTAAATGCATGTTACTAAGTGAAAGAAGCCAGTTCAAAAAGACTACATACTATATGGTTCCAATTACATGACATTTTGAAAAAGGAAAAACTATGGCATAGACAGCATAAAGATCAGTGGTTGCCAAGAGCTGGAGGAGGTGGGTGGGAAGGGATAAATAAACAAAGCACAGAGGATATTTAGAGCAGTGAAAATACTCTGTGTGATACTCTAACAATGGATTTGGGTCATTTTGCATTTGTTCAAACCCGTAGAATGTACAACACCAGAAGTGAACCCTAGTATAAGCTATGAACTCTGGATGGTGGTGATGCGTCAGTGTAGGTTCATTAATTGTAACAAATACAGTCCTGTAGTGGGGGGTGTTGATAATAGGGGAGGCGGTGCAGGTGTGGGGGTGGGGAGAAATGAGGTATTTCTGTACTTTTCTCTCAATTTTGCTGTGAACCTAAAACTACTCTAAAAACATTAGGTCTTTAATTTCTTGAAAATCAAGATAAAATTAAAGGAGTATTGATTTTTATATCTTAAGCACAAGCATGAGATTATCAACACAAAGTTTTAGATCTTTGACCTATTGGATGGCATCCTCATTTTGTGTACAGTCGTTTTATTTTAAAAATACCTTTTCAAAGCCTTTGACAAAATTCGACAGCCTTTCATGCTAAAAACTCTCAACAAATTAGGTATTGATAGGACGTATCTCAGAATAATAAGAGCTACTTATGACAAACCCACAGCCAGTATCATACTGAATGGGCAAAAACTGGAAGCATTCCCTTTGAAAACTGGCACAAGACAGGGATGCCCTCTCTCACCATTCCTATTCAACATAGTGTTGGAAGTTCTCGCCAGGACAATCAGGCAGGAGAAAGAAATAAAGGGTATTCGATTAGGAAAAAAGGAAGTCAAATTGTCCCTGTTTGCAGATGACATGACTGTATATTTAGAAAACCCCATTGTCTCAGCCCAAAATCTCCTTAAGTTGATAAGCAACTTCAGCAAAGTCTCAGGATACAAAATCAATGTGTAAAAATCACAAGCATTCTTATACATCAATAACAGACAGAGAGCCAAATCATGAGTGAACTCCCATTCACAATTGCTTCAAAGAGAATAAAATACCTAGGAATCCAACTTACAAGGGATGTGAAGGACCTCTTCAAGAAGAACTACAAACCACTGCTCAACGAAATAAAAGAGGACACAAATAAATGGAAGAACATTCCATGCTCATGGATAGGAAGAATTGATATCATGAAAATGGCCATACTGCCCAAGGTAATTTACAGATTTAATGCCATCCCCATCAAGCTACCAATGACTTTCTTCACAGAATTGGAAAAAACTAATTTAAAGTTCGTATGGAACCAAAAAAGAACCCTCATTGCGAAGACAATCCTAAGCCAAAAGAACAAAGCTGGAGGCATCACGCTACCTGACTTCAAACTATACTGCAAGGCTACAGTAACCAAAACAGCATGGTACTGGTACCAAAACAGAGATGTAGACCAATGGAACAGAATAGATCCCTCAGAAGTAATACCACACATCTACAACCATCTTATCTTTGACCAACCTGACAAAAAAAAGAAATGGGAAAAGGATTCCCTATTCAATAAATGGTACTGGGAAAACTGGCTAGCCATATGTAGAAACCTGAAACTGGATCCCTTCCTTATATCTTATACAAAAATTAATTCAAGATGGATTAAAGACTTAAATGTTAGACCTAAAACCATAAAAACCCTAGAAGAAAACCTAGGCAATACCATTCAGGATATAGGCATGGGCAAGGACTTCATATCTAAAACACCAAAACAATGGCAACAAGAGCCAAAATTGATAAATGGGATCTAATTAAACTAAAGAGCTTCTGCACAGCAAAAAAAAAACAAAAACAAAAACAAAAACAAAAACCAAAAAAAAAACTACCATCAGAGTGAACAGGCAACCTACAGAATGGGAGAAAAGTTTTGCAATCTACTCATCTACAAAGGGCTAATATCCAGAATCTACAAAGAACTCAAATTTACAAGAAAAAAACAACCTCATCAAAAAATTGGGCAATGGATATGAACAGATACTTCTCAAAAGAAAACATCATCACTGGCTATCAGAGAAATGCAAATCAAAACTACAATGAGATACCATCTCATGCCAGTTAGAATGGCAATCATTAAAAAGTCAGGAAACAACAGGTGCTGGAGAGGATGTGGAGAAATAGGAACACTTTTTATACCTTTGGTGGGACTATAAACTGGTTCAGCCATTGTGGAAGACAGTATGGCGACTCCTCAACGATCTAGAACTAGAAATACCATTTGACCCAGCCATCCCATTACTGGGTATATACCCAAAAGATTATAAATCATGCTGCTATAAAGACACATGCACATGTATGTTTATTGCAGCACTATTCACAATAGCAAAGACTTGGAACCAACCCAAATGTCCATCAGTGATAGACTGGATTAAGAAAATGTGACACATATACACCATGGAATACTATGCAGCCATAAAAAAGGATGAGTTCATGTCCTTTGTAGGGACAGGGATGAAGCTGAAAATCCTTCTGAGCAAACTATTGCAGGGACAGAAAACCAAACACCACATGTTCTCACTCATAGGTGGAAATTGAACAATGAGAACACTTGGACACAGAAAGGGGAACATCACACACCAGGGCCTGTCATGGGGTGGGGGGAGGGGAGAGAAATAGCATTAGGAGATATACCTAACATAAATGACGAGTTAATGGGTGCAGCACACCAACATGGCACATGTATACATATGTAACAAACCTGCATGTTGTGCACATGTACCCTAGAACTTATAATAATAATAAAAAAAAGAAATACGAAGATTACATTTAAAAAAATACCTTTAAAAAAAAATCAGAAATTCCCATTCTCATGGAACTTACTTCTAGCAGGATGGATGACAGAAACAATACATTTTTAAAAAGTAAAGAAAAACAAAACAAAACAAAAAATCAACACAATTGTTCCACTACAGCCAAAGATGTAAAAATAATTTGAACCTTTCTGAATTATGAATATATCTTTAACGAATCTATAAGAGTACCTGCACACTTTTAGTTTTTAAAACAAGTAAGCCAATGAAAGGATATTAAATGTTTTCCCAGTGAACTGCTGAAAGCTTATTTTCTGGACAATTCAAACTTTAGAAAGCAGGTTCTGGTTTTGTGGATCAGCAGCCCTTATTAGGTGCCATGTAACAGGTAGCTCCAGGGACTCATGTCCTATAAAAATATCACATTGATGAGGTTCTAATCAGTTCAAATGTTGTCATCTTCTAGTTTGGTGCCAGTGTAGTTATTTTAAAAGTGCAAAGTTTCCATTTTTAATTGGTGTTCAGTTTGTCTCTTAAAACATTGGTTTGGTTTTAAGTTAAATGCAAGTTAAAATGAACAACCTGGGCTCTGTCCTGGCATCAACAAACTTGTGCATTATTTTTATCCCGTATGTTATTCTGTTGTTAGTTTAATTGCCTGACCAAGTCACAGACCTAGGTGTTCCACGTGTGCATATGTTTTGCATACAATACAACCCAAGCATTGTAGCCAGAGCAGAACAAGAGCCATGCGGGAGAGGCCAATGGGCTCACACTCACAGGGTACAATTCACAGCGGAGGCCGATCCTGCTCCAGGCAGCACTGGATCTGGCCTGACTTCTCAACAGAGAAACAGCCAGTGAAGAGGGAAAACACAATACACGCAACTCCCCTGCTTCAGCTGCAAAGACTAAACCATCAGAGCTAGTCCCGAAAAACCCAAAGCCCTTCAAGTACTGCTTAGGAATCTTTCTTCCAGAACCAGCGGCTTCCCATCCCCCCACCAGCCCTGTTCTGGGGAGCAAGGACAGGTTTGCAGTCTGAGAACTGGAATCCTCTCTCCCCGTGCCAGCACAGAAATGTGCTGCTAGCATTTGCAGAAACAAGTAAATGATGTGGTATGTGCATCCTCAATCTCTCTTTTAATGTCTCCAACAATCTAGTGGTTAATTAGCAATTTGCTGCCCACCAATATGCAAATGAATGACAAGCAAAGGTTCTCTGCATCTGTAATTATTTTGCTGATTTACAAGCCTCTTTCCTCTCAGTGTAGGTTTTTCTGTGTGTGTGCATTCATGCATCAGGGATTTCATTATTTTTTGAAGCATAGTCTGTGCATTTTTATCCTTTAATACTTTCAGACTTCAGTGATCACAGTATTTTGAAAAAAAGAATATGTGTGTGTGTGTGTGTGTGTGTGTGTGTGTGTATATGCTTCCTTCCACCCCTCAACTCCAAATGCATTTGTCAGGGATTCTTTTCTTTGATAAAGAGTGGAGAGTAAGATTTATCAAGGGGCTGTAATCCAAATTGCAGAAAGTCAGAACGCAAGATTGAAAGATACACATTTTTGCTGCTGCCAAGTCCTTATCTGGAATCAGAGTCTAGTAATATTTTATTTTCTCCCAAGCAGCTCTGGTGAGTCGAGCCACGATCTGCGTTATCCATCTGCCTACTTTGGAGCGGGGTGTTGTACTATTTGGCGGCTTAAACGCTTTACGTTCTTGCCAGGGCATTAAGAAAGGCTCTCATGTTAAATTAAGTCAATTAATAAATGGAGACACATTAAGCAATCAATTTTGTCAGCCTATCTCCCCAGCATTAGGTATGGTTGGCTGTAATCACAAGATAAATGCAATGTGCTGATCTATGGTAATGTTCAATAATACATTCTCCGCCAGGCTCAATTCATCAGGGAGTTTCGGTAGGGAAGGCATTTGTTATTGGCTGTCTCTGCACCTCAAGGATAACATTTCTGTCCTTTTGATTGGCCGCCTCACTGCTGCAAGATTCTAACCGTCTTATTTTGATGATGAATATGAAGGCGCGCTAAGCCGGGCTGGCGCGGAGTGTCTCAGAGGCTGCGCTCCTTCCAGAGCCCAAGGACTCACAGCTTCCTCCGCTGCCTTCCCGGGCCAACAACCCCCCAAAAGTTGTGATGCTTTTCTTTACCCAGTGCTTTGGGGCTGTATTAGATCTCATTCATCTCCGATTTCAGCACTACAAAGCTAAACGGGTTTTCTCCGCTGCCGGGCAACTTGTCTGTGTCGTCAACCCCACTCACAACCTAAAGGTGAGTCTCTGTGTCATTTTATCTTCACCCGGCTCAGGGTCAAGTCCTTTCTGGGAGGCGGCAGTGACCCTCCGGCGAGCGCGTGCAGCCCTTTGCAAAGCCGGGTCGCGGGGGCTGGGACTGTGTCTGGAAGCCGGCGTGTTTGCCTCGGCTCACTCTCGCTCTCTAGGTGGCTGGGTGCTGTTAGTGACCGAGTGTTGTTTCCCCAACTGGCAGGAAAAATTGGATTGATGGTCTGGTGTCTTTCCCCGACGCTGTCAACCTGAGAGTGGCGTGGGGGGCAGAAGTGAGGGTGGTGGAGGGAACAGGGGGGCGTCCCCATCGCTCTCCCTAGTATTTGTGGGCAAGTGCTCGGGAGACAGGATTTGAAGTTAGCCAAATTGCTCTCTGTCCCACGTGTTGGGAGAGGTGGTCAAACACGAGGATTTTAGACGCTACTGCGCGGTGAGGAATCCTGAAACAGGGACCTGGAGATTGGTGGGGTTGGGGGAGGGTTCTTTCTGCAAAGTGTTTGTCCTTGTCCTCAGACTCGTGTGTATGTGTGTGTGTGGTGTTGGGAGGATTTTGGCTTATTTCCTTCCTGCTGGTTAGATGTGCTCCTTGTACTGGAGCAGGATTTGCCTGGATTGTGTAATAATGTAATCAGCTCCGAGCTGCTGCCGCGGCTGCCTGGAGCTCCCTAGGCAGCTGGGTGCTGGGTTGTTCGTGGCTGCCTAGCTGCCCCGCGGCCTCTGCATTTGCACCCTCAGGTCAGTGCCCTTTTAGAGACCAGACAAAATATGGGGTCCGGCAGAGCCGCTAAACATCACAGCCAAGACTGGCCGGGAAAGGAACGCTGGGCCACTGGCTAGCGGTAGGGAGGAGGAGAAGTCAGGGGAGTGGGGGTTGGGGAGACGGTGAAGCTGAACTGCCCGGATGGGAAACTCAGCACCTTGCCTCTCTCCTAACATAAAAGGTGGACTCGTTGGAAGTTCCTTTCCTGTCCTGTGTAAGGCAGACAGGACTGAGTGCCGGGGGGAGGGGCCATGTCTGCAGCGCCCGTGCCCTACAGTCTCTGTGAGGATAGATCTGTCCCTCTGACCACTGCTGTTGGGGAGGAAGGGCACTGCCTGTTGTCCATTACTTTATAAACTCCCACGGCCAGACTATCCTCAGCTGGAGCGCCGCAGGTCAGCGCTGATGGGTACCCCCACTCCTAGAAGTTCCGCGGAAAGACAGCTGCCTGGAGCTGCTGGGGCTACATGCCAAGGCCAGTCCTGGTGGAGGAGCGATGGACTGTCCTGGGACCCCTATGGTGCCCCTGACCTAGGATCTGACTCTCTCTGGTACCCCAGCTGTGACCAATACCATCGCATGCAACTGTTCACACCTGCTCTTGCTTGCGAGCTGTTTCCTCTCATTCCACTATTTCTCTTCTTCTTGGATAATTTAGTTTTATAAATAAGAATTCACACCAGTCACCCTTGGCAAAGCAAGTATATAGCATACACATTAAAGTATAATTCTGAATTCCATTTTATGGCCACTTTTGAGACCGCATTCAAACTTCCATTATTTTGTCACTTTGCATTAGTTAGTTCCCTGGGGCAAGAAATTTTGTTTACTTCTGTTTTGTATTTTAATACCTTTAAAAATTGCTTATGAGACTTTGGCATTTCTGAAGTTTGAATTTATATGGTTCATTGACTGCAGCTGATGATGGGGAATAGCCAGGTGTTAAGGTCTCTGTGTGGAGCCAGAGGAAACCACTTGTGTGTATTTCTCAATGATGTCTGCCTGGATATTGACAAATCGTCTTGCCGCCCTGACCCAGGAGTTCAGAGTTAGGGTTGGAGGCCTTGAGTCAGCTCTGGCCAGCTGTGGGAAATTGAACGCCTCCTGCACCTCGTTGAGCCTTCCCTTCCTCACCTTTTAAATGGGCTTATGAACATCTGCCCTTTCTCCGCCTCAGCTTTTGAGACTGAAGAGAGGTATCAGAGGTGTTTCATAACTCTCCCCTAAAAATAATGTATGTTATTGTATATATAATTTGTAGAGTTCCAATAGCAAATTCAAAAGTTGTCGCTTAACACATTCAGACAATTTAGAAATCATATAATCAGTAACATAAAAATGGATGGCATGCTTTGAGAGGCCAGGGCTCACTTTTTCACTTACACGCTTATCTGGCTTTTCATTTCCCGTAAAAAAACACTTAGGGATTTTTGCTCAGAGAAACATCACCCCAGATAAAGCAAGTTGAGTGCTGCTAATGTCCCCAGGATGTGGAATGAGGCACGCAGGATTTGGAGAGGGCTCCAGGTAGGGAGAGACCTGGAGAGTGCAGGTGGCCCATCAGGTAGGTTGTACCCCCTTCTCAAACCTAAGGGCTAATAGTCATTTGCAGAGCTTTAAAAGGACTAACTCTATAGGAGCATCACTGCCCCACTGCTTGTATTAAAAAGCACATGTAACCTCAAAAAAAATCTCTTTCTAAACACTAATTTCCATAAACAGACCACAGAAATATGCCTTGGATGTAATAAGCTGTGATCTATGTAATGAGGAGGAATGTCCTTCTTTTTTTAGAGAAAACAAAAATTCTGTGGCAATATTAACCCAGAATAGCTATTGATCTGCCGTGCTTCCCCACACTTTGTATGACAGGCCAGTACATGAAATGGTGACCAAGGACAGAGAGACTACAACCTTGCTTTCAATTTTCTGGGTTGCGTGTAGCTACAAAGAGGGCTGGGAAGCTTGTGTTTTTCTTTGTGGAAGCATTTATGTGTTTTATCCTTTCCTGGGCTTTCCTGAGAATTCGAACCAACAGCATTTTTGAACCTGAGGCAAGTGCTGAGTTATAATCAAAATTCACTTACAAAGCAAAGAAAATTGTGTATTTGCCATGCTTCTATAGGTCACCTTCATTCTCAATCTTATTATGGTGATTACTCAGTAACCTGGGATTCCTTCAAGCAAGCTGATGCCTTTCCTTCTAAATGGAAGGCAGAGCCTTCCCAGGGACATCAGATCCTCTGGTTAAAGCCATTACACCCCTGAAGCTCACCCTAATTAAAAGGGGCATTTAGAGTAGCCAGCCTTGAACATAAGAGACCTCAGCTTTCAGTGAGTGCCAGGCAGTAGAGTGCAAACAAGACCTTTTCCCTCAGTCTCTGTCTCTGTCTCTGAGGACCACTTGCACAGATTAGGGTTCCAAATGGTGCCCACACTTCTTTCCACCCTGTGAAAAGTGACCGTCAAGGAGCCAGCTCTCTTGGCTGGCTGCCCTCTGCTTCCTCATTCACAGTGGTTATTGAAATGTGGCGAGCAGGCTTCAGGCTGGCGCTCATGAGGACACCTGCTCCGGGTCCTGATTCAGCACTCCTCTCTCCCTCCTGTCCTTTGCTTGTTTCTAAATGAAGAAAGCCTTGCTCTCCTGGCTCCACTCCACTGGCACTAGCTGCTTCTACAGTGTCCTGCCCTGGGCAGCCCTGCCTTGTTTTGCACCACCTGCAGAGGTGCCCTTTGAGGGGAGGATCGGTCAGTCCCTGTGCCCAGGTTTTTCCAGAGAAGGCTCTGTAGTGCTAGCCGGAGCCCTTCTGGCGTCGGTCACGAGCACTTCCCAAGCAGGCAGTAGCTAGGCTGAGGCTGGCTGAGTGGCTTCCTCCTCTTAACCACAGCCTTTGATAAACAAGTTTCTGAAAGAAGAATAGCAAAATGCTTTCTGGCAAACTTCCATGAGGCCCTCTCTGATACCTCCACACCGTGCCTGCACCACCCCAGACAACCCCATTAACCTTGGGTTACAACAGAAACACACACACGAACACATGGAATGGGAGGGGCATATGGGACAGTCGTGGCTTTAAGTGCCTGACAGATATGAAATCTAAAGCTAGGGCACTTCAGTACCATTTGTTGATGCATCCACGTGCCTTTCATTCTAAGACCAACCTGTGTGGATAAATGTGTATTGAGTGGCAGTGGGGAGGGTGGGAGCTGTAAGGAAGAGGAGGAGGCAGGACCAGGAAAGGAGAGATGTGAGATGTGTGCCCGCCTTTGCCATTTATGGGATAATCTTTGGAAATCCCGTGCTGCACCGGGCTTTGCTAACTCTGTTTCACACAGCACAGCAGGCGGCTGAATGAGAGGTAAAGACCTGAGCATTGTCTTTAGAGATTTAGAGGTGGCCTTTGGAGTGTTCTGCATGAATACCTACTTTAAAGCAGTTAAAGGCTTCCTGCGAGATTATTTAATAGCTGGTATGTGGGTTACTCAGTTCCTCTCCACACAGTCACCTCTGATGGTCCCATTCCCAGAGCTCTGGGCATTTCACAGTCTTCTTTCTCTGTCCAGTCTGGAGTCACTTTGCCAGAGGGGCTGGAGAAAGGGTAAGGAAGGTGACCCCAAGCTGGTGGGGGTCACTGTGCGAGCGTTATTCTAAAGGCTTTGCAGCCTCTTCCGGCCCATGGGTTTCTGTGAATATTGTATGACACTCCACTCTGTGGGCTCAGAGCAGTCGTGTGGCTTTTCTGGTTAACAGTGATTGCAAATGAGGCTCCTGAGTCACATAACGGGGAGGCGCAGAGCCCGGAGCAGTAATTTGGTTAGCCGTGTGCCAGTGATTGAGTTGTAGGGGAGGCTGAAGCTGGCGGCTGTGATGAGGTGAGCCGATTACCTCTGTACTACATTTATCCAGCAGCCTCGAAGCAAATTTGGTGGAATTCTCTTCACCGTGATCCCTCAACCTGCAGGGACTGTTTGGGAAAATTAGAAAATAGATACTGAAAGCTTTCTTTGAAATCCGCAGAGAGGTCTGAGTCATTTGGATGGCTTCCCTGGGGTAAGATGGATTATTTTCCTAGCAATTAACAACAAGAAAAAAAATTAACTGTCTGTGGAGATATCTTACCCTTAGCAAAGTCATCTTCATCCACTAGCTCTGTTCCTCCAAAGGGAAACAGTGACCTGGTTAGCACGAAATGTCCACTGGAAGGAATCAACCCAAAGAATGGAGA